ACCATCTTCTTTACTCAGCATCACCTCTATTTGCAGATCAGATATGGAAAAGTCCTAGAAACCTCAAGCAAGTTTTAAATCAAACTTCCATCTCTACTGTTAGCCTTTTGAACATCTCTAAATGGAGATAAGTAAGTAGTCAAGAAATAGGCTCCCATCCTTGCAAACGTCTGGGGAAACTCCATCAACTGCAATAGTTACATGCTGGATACACACCGACTTAAAAGACCTCAAATTAGCACCTGATTGTATTCCTCTTTCTGCTGAACCCTGTCCTGCAAGAGGATCCACACAGATGCAACTACATTTTTTTATTTTACTAAAAAAATAAAAAGTAGTATTGAAAATAAAGTCAAATCAACACGACTTGCAGACTCTCTGCAAATCTATATTGTTTTTTCAGCAGTGTTGATTTTCAGCAGAACTTCTCTGCTGAATTTAAAAGTGACATTTTAGACTACTACATCTTTAATGAAGATTTTCACTATAAATGTTTAGGATGTGAAGCACAAATTAAAAGAAACCACTTAAAAAACCCTGTAAGACAAATGAGTGTTTGAAAACTAAGCATGAATTAATAATCTGCTTCAAGACATCTGTTTCCCTTTAAAATGTGCTTTATTAAGACTATTATTCATTAAAATGAGATCAGGATCACATAAATTCTGCCTGACTTTACTGACAAATTTAAGTCTATATCCAGATGTACTTAAATTAACCATCCAACTAATGCCATTACAGAACATTGTATGAATCTGGAACAACAGAGCTTCAGGGAAATAACTGTCACACAAAGGCGATGGAGCAGATCTAATTCAGTACTTTATCTCTAGCACTGGTCATAAAATGGAAACAACAAAGTCCCATGCAGTGCTGCATGGATGTTTTGTCTGAGTTGAGGGGGCTTTATTCCTGAAACCTTCTACTCACTTGTATCACTGCATAGTACAAGTGGGAACCAGCAAGCTGCCCTTGACCATCAGCAGCACAGCCTCCAGGAGTAAACCTGTCCCAGAGTACTGACATATTCCAGATCCCTGAGTTCCCATTCATTTTTTACATGGACATATCTGCTGCATGCCAAGATTAGATCTTACCATTTTGAATATGAAGGCTATTTCCATGTCTTCATAAAATCTGAAATGGAAGTTCACGGTACTTTTAAATTTACCCACCAGGAAAAAGAGGATTTATCTCTATTGGCAGGTGCTCAGCAAAGCAATTTGTAAAAATTTAGTCCATTCAGAATCTCAAACTCCCTTCGACCATTTCACCATTCATTAAATGCCTGTGTCTTTGCTGCGCACACATACATGCAAACCAAAGCAGCAAAGGCAGGAATACAAATAACCTAACTCCACTTGCAGAAGAGGCTGACAGTATTCTCTCTGTATCTGGATCCTAGAAACACTGTTAGGCCTACAGCAGTGCTTGAGTGAAGCCATATGTAAAGGCAAGTCCCTTGCAAAGAGTTTTTGTATTCCAGAAACAACTGTTTCTTAAGCAAAGGACTAATAAAGCCACTGTGATAGTTACAGGTGCCCTCCTTGCCCTCCCTCCCAGGACATCTTCTTATACATACAAATACATGCTTGTACATCTGACATAAAAGCATTTGCAGGTGAACAGCAAAAGAAGGTGAGGTAATTCAGCTGTAAGCTGTACCTGGATTCCAAATGTTACTGGTTTGCTCCACAGCTATACCAGATACCACATTTACAAACTAAAGAACATATTTCAACTTCCATGGCTTTTACACACACACACACACATGCACACACACAAAATTCCATGCTCAGCTAGGCCACTGAAGGCACTGCCCATTTTAATTTATTTCTGCCCAATCAACATGGGACTTTAAAAGATAATCTCTGATAGAAATTCAATTTATGTCTCCCTGTGCATGTCTAAGCAGATCTGTAATCAGTGTAATCACATTGCCACACTTCACGTGTGTGGAGTGAGGGTCCCAAACACTGTTTTCCCTGCTGCAAAACCAGCCTTAAAATCTTACCAAAACAAATCTAAATGTGCATCACCCTAAGAAAAGAATAAAACTGACCCAACATGCTCCTGGGGGAAATTCTGGCTGTTCTTTCTATAGCGCTTCCTTCTTTCTTTTTTTTTTAAATAAATTAAATATTTTACTCTTTTAGAGCTCAATCTTATTTAAGATGAGAAGGGAAAGCTAATGAAGAAAGCATTCTGATTCGAAAAGTTCCTAAAATTGCACAGGGCTGAAATACAACTAATGTGTACCAGTATTTAAAAGAATAAATGCAACAGGAGAAATAACTCTTGGCTAAGAGTCTGATGTAGAAACTGGACAAAGTAATATAAGTAATTAAAGAATAAGTAAGGAAATGCTTGTTTAGAAAGAGTTAAAAGAGGATGATAATAATAATACCAAACAAAATAGGGTTAAAAAAAAATAGATTTACAAGTTTGGACATGAATTATAACAGTTCAGTCTATACAGGTAAGAGTGATGATGATGATGACGATGAGTATTTAGCCTTCTATAAAGCATTTAATCAGGTACTTCATGACATTTTCATCAAGAGACTTGGATGATACATGACCATTATGACACTCGCTAGAAGAGTGCAAAGCTAGCAGCTGTACCTCCAAATGGAGCTACAGACAGTAAATCAGTGGAGAGCAAGAACATTTGTATAGGAGTCCTGTAAGACTTAGACATTGGTCCTGTGCTGTATCAATGACCTGGAAAAAAACCCCAGTGTTAAATTGGTTATTAAGGTTTACAGAGGAGATAAAAATTTGAGGAACGCAAAATAATAAAGAACACATTCCTGAGCTGGACAGTGAACAAAGATGGTAGGAAGGAAAAATGAATCTCAGAAAAAAATGCAGATTATATTTACAAAAGTAGAACTCCGACCTCCATACAATTAAAAAAAATAAAATAGTTGGGAAACATGACAAATACCCACCAAATAGATTCTTCAACTGCAATACTGCAGCCAAACAGGTTAAATGCCCTTACATTATAAACATAACCACAATCTGGTACTAATCATCTTATCTCCATGCTTTCCACTGACATAACTGCCCCTGACATGCTGCAACTGGTTCTGGTGCCTAGTTATTGAATGGTGCTGGAAACTTCATAATCTTCACAGGAGACCTCCAGGAACAAATAAAATACTTTTAAAAGGGAGCCTTCAGAGGGGGTGATCCACGTAGGATGTCCAAGAGAAAGCTGTGGTCTCATGTTTACGACAGAGAAACTTGTGTGGTAACAGCCCTTTCAACTGAGCAGTCAGATGAAACATAGTTTCATTCTGGAAAGTGAAGCTAGACAAACATTAGCCATAAATATTTGGTTATAAGCACTGAGAGTAATATTGCAATAAATGTCAGTTTGCAACAAATTCTGCACCAAAAAACAGGCTTCATTAGATGGATTTTCAAAAAGCTGCAGCCTTGTTCATACGCAGTTTAATTAACTTTGGGGAACAACTAAAATGAATGGCCTTATAAATGTCTGAACCGCAGATTGCTGGTCTGTTCTATCATATATCTAAAAATCCTGGCTCTATACTATGCTTCTTGTAGTCTACATACCAGATGCTCACAGGGGTTTAAAGACCAAGATGAGTTCAGAAAGTACTTAATTTCTTGATACAGTGCCCCTTCATTTTATTATCTAGTACACCAGCCTACTGCAGCAAGCAGTCTCAGTTTTCCAAAATTGTCCCATACCTACTGCTATTCAGCATCACATTTTAGTATTGTGTATGAAGCATATTACTTCTGGGTTATATTTTGTCTGACACTGCTATCATTTCTGCAGCACAAATTCATAGTGAGACAAACATTTCTATGGTTTTTTGAGAGTATCACATTAGACCACCGTTATATCATAGAATAGTTAGGGTTAGAAAGGACCTTAAGATCATCAAGTTCCAACCCCCCTGCCATGGGGAGGGACACCATCATCCTCCAGGCACAGGAGGATCACCAGTGTGTTTTCAGATATGCCAGGCTACCTTTGTGATGGGAACATGACCACTGCAGCAGCTTGATTGGCAGCATGCTTCCAGGCTTATGAAAGTATCTCAAAGAGGTTGTCCATTTCCTTCTACAAGTTGGAAGCTACAGAACTAGCCTGACCCTTGACTATAGCAAGCCCAGGCTCAGCATCAGTTAGCCTGCTGACTCTCACGTGCCTGCTTTCTGGTGCAACAGCAGCAGTGACTTCCAGAGGCATGCATGTAGCAAAGATGCTGCATATAAGTTTATGCCAAGTATCAGAATTTAACAGAAAAAGTGGGTGCTATTTAATCAAAACACACTGTTTTAACATGCCAAGAAGTTTGTATCTCATAAGGAAGATTTAGTCCAAGTATAGCTTCTCTGATCAGACCTTTGAGTTATACCAGAGATGTATTTGGCCCACTACTTAGAAACGAGACATTACTTGCAACAGACTGGTATTGTACACTGCTTACTGTTCTCATCACTATAGTAATGTACTTTTGTCTATAGCTCTTCCATTCCATGAAAGAAAACAAAGCTCACTCAGTTAAACTAAAAACTAAAGATACAATAGAAATCTTGGATATATAAAATCCACTGGAATTGAGAATATAAACTGGTACAGAATGCAGTACATCTCCTTTAGAATAATTGATTTATACCAACTTACTTCACTGGAGAGTGCTGTCTACCCGTCTCCAATTCATCTTAACTTCCAGCTTAACACACAACTAAGTATTAGTTTATGAGATAAACAATGCCTTTAACTTTCTGTTCCATCTTTTGTCTTTGCCCTACATTTCTATTTGTAAATTCCAGATTCAGAAGCCATATGGATTAAATTGTTTATACAGGCTCTAGTTTGGAAAACTTAACTTGGGGTTTCAAGCATCTTTGACATCTGCTTACAGAATGGTTCCTAATTCTGTGAACACCTTAGCCATATACTTAACAGCAAACATCAGAATGGCTTTTGGGAATTAGAAACACTTTCTGACCTGGTACCCAAAGATAAACAGCACTGCACTTGGACTGGATGCTATGCCAGCTGGCAGGAAAACAGAAGGCAGGCCAGCCTTGGGGAGAATTCTTCACCTGCCTATTCTGTAAGGGTAGTATTGACTCAGCTCCTCTGAATCTCAAGTTCTTCATTCCAGAGTCTGAATGCTCTCCATTTCTAATAAATTAAGAGAGAGATGGGCAAATGGTTATCTTCTAAAAAGAACTGGTACACTTGCTTTAATATAAAGTACTAAACATATTATATATACATATATGTGGAGTATATATATATATAAACCTATAAATATACTCCAAATGTATATGTGCAAAATAATACCATTGACTTTTTAGCACTTATGTTTACTACTAAGCTTTTCTTCTTTTAGAATTATGAACATAAGAGGATAATGTCTCTGACTTTAGCTTAGACCCCTCTCCAATTCAAGCATTTTATACAGAATGCTTGCTTCCAATCTTCAGAACACTTTATCACAAGTTTCTCTGTGCAGAGCTCAGACAGGTATCTTCACACTTCTATACATAACACTTGTGTTTTAATATTTTTTTTCATGTATTGAAGACATACATTTAAGGACCAAATCCATTTCTAATACAACCTATTGAAATTAAGTTCTGCAATCTGAAAACTTCTCTCTTGCAATATCACCATTGCAAACAAATACAAATAGCCTTTCATATCATTTTTCCATGTCCAGGCCCACAAACTGCCCTACAGATTACTCAAGAACAGAAATTAATGGTAGTTGAAATCAGAACTCTCTGCCTTCTCACCTGTGCTAGATCACACAAGAAGTCCTTCGAATATCTTGAATACTCTGAGTTCTTCCAGGTTCAGAGTATGCCAGCACTGAGAAGTCAGAAGGTTTTGGCACACCCCAATACTACAGATTCAAAACATAATTTGAATCTCAGCAAGGCAAAAAAACCCCAAACCAAAACAAAAAGCCCACACACACTAAGCCCAGTGAGAGGAAAAACCACTGAGCCAGACCTTTGGCTTCAGTCTACGTTACAGAAACCCTGCCCAATTTTGCTATTAAAAATTCACTTTCACACAGAAAGGTGTCCTCATCAAATTAACTTCTAAAATTAAGACAAAAGTATAAGAGATTAAGTCATAAGAGACCACTGTAATGATCCATTCTGACCTCCTGCATGTACCATACAATTTTTCTAAATTCCAATTTAAACTAATAATCTTCAAGTCTAGTTTTTTCATCTCCTGCGATGGATATTTTATTATTTTCTTAATTACAAAGCACTTTTCATGTCAGTTATTTCTAGAGAATTTATAGTTTTTACTAATAGAAGTAAATGTATCTGGATACAGTGTGTGAGCACCTGGGGCAGGCAGCATTCAGCAGAACAGATCACAACCTTCACACATCCCCTCCTTCACTTGGTAAAAGTATCTCACTACCACAGTAGGCAAGCCACAGGCAAGTCTCAATTTGAAACCATCTCTCTTTCAGGAGAATCCTGACACCAAAAGGCAGAGAGCCTCTGAACTTCCCTGAAGTTAAAAGTGGCTTATGTCACACTTTTGGAATTGTAACACAAGCACCAGAACAGACATTTGGGTCCAAAGCTTAAGGGACTAATCCAGTATCTGGGTCTGGTCCTCCATGGAAAAATGCTATTTATTTAGAAAAGACACTGTTCTCTCATAAGCAATTGAAACAACAGCCACTTGCTCCTCTTAGACCCTTAATGGAACAAAAACAGGCACATTCAGCCAGTTAGACCTACTCAATAAACATGGCTTCCTACAAAGAAAAGAAAGTGAGCTCAGCTGCAGGTTTCCAGCTAAGAACCATTCCCATCATGTGAAATAACATTTTTTTTCCTTCATGTATCCTTATTGCAAGGTCTTGACAAGACAGACGACTGCAGCCACCAGTTACTGTTAATATAAGCATAATTGGATTTGCTATGGTTTCAGTAAACAAGTAATCAAGTGCTTAAAAATCTATTTTAATGATGTTTTCAAGAATAATAATACTCTTCATTACAAAAGAAAGGTAAAAGGTACATCTTTTACATATAAGAAACTTACACCAAAGGCAAAGAATATCTTCAAAATAAAGCTATGTTGCTCACTGCAGGAAAGCTTCAGGTATTTGCGATTATTCACTCGATTCACTTTTGGAAAAAGATGAAGGTGGACTGTCAAAATAGTTACTCTACCATGTCCGCTTTAAATATTTCACTGACTGTCAACAATTTAGCAATAAAATTACAAATATATAGAAAACAGATCTGCTACTGCACTCCTACTGCATAGCTACACATACAACCAATAGCAAAAATTCATAATAACAAAATATGCAGAAATTAAGTGTTTTCCATTCATAAAGGCAGAATTACTCCCACATTCCATTCTGTCCCAAAACGAACATTCAACACAGTGACCAAAAAGGAAGACAACTGTTCCTGTATTTCATAGAATGTGGAGAAGATAAATCTATATTACTCATAAATTGGGACTAACCCTAATTCCACAAATTGTTTGCTGTATAATCATAGCTGATACATGGAAACATGTAAAAATAATATTAACAATTAATTGTAAGTCAGAGTGAAAACAGTGATGCCAATGAGGGGGTCTCATTCCACGACTACTGCTTCTTGGGCAGAACAAGCCCTAGTTCAGCAGTCTTACCCCAGGGACATTACCAGTAACAGAAAGCACAATGCTTAGTAAAATTTGCATGAAAGGCCGAAAGTGATCACTAAAAATGTTTTTACAAACAGTAGGACAAGGACATCGGGAAAACAATACTATTGCATTCATTGCAATATTAGGCATTCAAGTACATCATTACTAATACAAAATGCTACAAATGCTTATTGCATGCAAATAGTCCCCAGACTACTTCATAATTTCTAAATCAAAATAATACATACATAAAGATAAAGCATGGATTCTGTTTACATAAGCTTTGATAAGAAAGGGCACATTAAATCATGAGTGGCTCACTACCATGAAATTACATTTCTAAATAATTTAATCCCTCAAAAAGTATTTCTTGCTAAAAATCCTTCATTTCTCAGTGTAATAGTTTGTAAACTTTGAAGATGTACATTTATACAATCTACAGTCTCAGCAGGAAATAAATTTCAGGTTTATCATCATTACTGTGTTCCAGCTGCAGAACAGAATCATGTGTATATAACTGGTCGCTACAGCCATAGTGCAAAGCAGCACATGTACCCTCTGGCATTCCTCGGCCCTCCACATCTTCCCCAGGGAAGCCATTCAGGTACCTGGCTATGTATGAGCCTGTTGAATGCCTGTTGATAACATGAGGACATGCTGAGGGCTTGTTCCGAAGGATAACCCCTGCTACACTACTTGTGTTAGAAGATTTTTGCTTGCTGGCAGCCTCCTGCCTCTCCTTGGCACGACTGGCTATATTCCTCACTCTGCTCTGGCTTCTGGAGGAGAGTTTTCTGACCAGTGCTTTTGGGCAGTCTTCATCAATCTGCCTGGAGTACAGCGTTTGACAGCTGTCCTCCTGATCCAGGGACACCAGCTTCCTCAGCTGTTCCGTCAGAGCATCTGTTGAATGTGGTCTCATATTCTTCATAGCAGCAAGTTTCTTGTCTCTCATGCCTGATGAGATAAAGCTCCTACTTATGTATTGATACTTACTTTCAAAATTGCAGGAAATATCCTCTGATGTCAAGTCACCAAGACTCTTGGATTTGCAAGGGCTAGTCTGCTTGATGGCTGAATGAGGGGGGAAAGACAAAGCATTTTTGAGCAGTGGTGAGTGTATGTTGAGCTGGGATCTCTTGGAGGTACACATTACATTTTTCTGTTTATCTGAATGATGATGATACAAGAAACCAACACTTTCACACACTGGAAAAGGGAGATGACTCCCTGAAGTCCTGAAGTTTCCTGAGCAGTCCAGGGCAGCAGCACAGAGCTCAACAGTTGCACTGTTCTCAGAAGGCCTCTCTCCATCGTGCCCAGCATCCTGCTTTTGCCTCAGTTTCAAAGGGGAAGCCAACTGGCTCATATCTTCCTTTTTATACTCACGTGCAGTTATCAACACATCTTGAGAATCCCCATCTACTTCTATAAGACTGCTGCTTTCTGAATTCTCACCACTGAGAGGGTCACCAAGTGCCTCCTCAAAGATGAGGCTGTTGGAAGCAAAAGAACTAGCAGTCTTGCAGGCTTCCCAGCTTGTTCCAGATTTTGTTCCACATATTCTTTTGGAATTTGCATTTAGCAAAGAGAGAGGTGACAGACAAGGAGAGCTAGGCATGTTATTTTCTACACTATTTATTTTCTTGCAAAGTAATCCATTGTGGGTCTTACATTCAGAAGCTGGTGTAAGAGTTGCTTCATGGGCAGCTGTGTGCACAGAATACTCTGCAGTCTCAGGGCTGGAGAACAGGGTAGTATCTGGAGTGGAGAACAAAGGGGATTCGATGGCTTTTGTGATAGCAAAGTTGTGCATATGGGGATTGTTAGGATCCTCAGTAAGCACACATGTGTGTGCAGCCGTCATACTGAAGGCCTGGCTGCTAGTGCCATGGAGGCTTGATACAGCAGTAAGATTAGTTTCATCATCTGTGACATCCAACTGCCCAATCAGAGCTGAGACAGTGCTATCCATCTCACTCTCATTCACTAAAGAAACTTCATCTATAAGGCGAGAAAGGTCACTGTCTTGCATGGTTAGACTAGAGTGCAAATCAGGCGCATCAGGGCAAGTGGTAGAAGAAATACCTGTCAAAGAAAGAAGGGCTGCAGTGCTTTTCTTGATGATGTCATATTTTTTACTTTCCATCTCTTCTTCTGGGGAAAGGGAAGTCCCTACATGAGTTATTTTCTCCTCCTTGGACCCTTTTGTGCCATCTTCCTTTTTATTGTCTGCACAGTTTTTGTTATGCGTTTTTTCTGTGGCAAGTTCAGAATCAGAGTGCTGCATTAGAGGGACAGTTTCATCAGAAAGATTATTTTCCCGATAGTCTATAAGGTGATTTGCTTCAGCTACTCCACTTGCAAAAACTAGATTTTCAGGTTGCTCCTGTAGAGGTGATACTAAAGAGTCAACTGTAGTCTCCTGGTCATTCTTCTTAAACTGAGATGCCAAATTTGAAGTACTGGATGGTTTCTCCGAACATG